CTTCTGGCCTAGCGCGGTTACGGACATATTTATTTAGGACTCCCATGAACCTCTCAAAGGGGTACATATTGCGTAGAAATACGGGGCCCAGAATGACAATCTTGTCAACTAGATGAACTAGGACGTGCGTCATGATATTGAAGAAGGATGGTGGGAACACCAACTCGAAACTGACAAGACATTGCACCACATCACTCCTTAGCCTTGGTATGATTTCTGGATCGATCACCTTCTGAGAGATTGCATTGAGGAATGCACATAGCTTCACAATGGCTAATCAGACGTTTTTTGGTAGAAGCCCCCTCAATGCAACCGGAAGCAGTTGCGTCATAATCACGTGACAGTCATGAGACTTTAGGTTCTGAAACTTTTTCTCTGCCATATTTGTTATTCCTTTTATATTCGACGAGAAGCCAGTCGGGACCTTCATACTAAGCAGACATTCAAAAAAGATTTCCTTCTCTTCTTTGGTAAGAGCATAGCTGGCAGGACCTTCATACTGCTTTGAAGGCATGCGGTCTTTTTCGTGCAAACTTTGCAGGTCCTCCCGTGCCTCAGCTGTATCTTTTGTCTTTCCATACACACCCAAGAAGCCTAGCAGGTTCACGCAAAGGTTCTTCGTCACGTGCATCACGTCGATCGAAGAGCGGACCTCTAGGTCTTTCCAGTAGGGTAGGTCCCAAAATATAGATTTCTTCTTCCACATGTGTGCGCGTCCCCCAGCGTCACTCAGAACATCTAGTCCGCCGGGATCCTTTTCAAAGATTACGTGTAAATCGTTGACCATAGCAAGTACGTGATCACCGGTACGCATGGCGGGCTTCTTCCGGTGATCTGCCTTGCCTTTGAAATGCTTGCCTTTCTTTCGACATTGATGGTTGGTTGGAAGAAATCGACGATGGCCCAGGTACACATTCTTCCTGCAGCTTCCCAGGTATATACTATCGGTGTCAAGTAAACAGTGCATGCATGTGTGGTATACCTTGTTTTTCTGTCCTGTAAGGTTACTGAGAGCGGGCCAATCGTTGATGGTCATGAACAGCAACGCCTTTAGGTCAAATTCCTCCTGTTTGTGCTCATCCCACGTACGTACATCGTTTCCATTCCACAGCTGTAAAAGTTCTTCAACTAATGGCCTTAGGTACACATCAATGTCATTGCCGGGTTGCTTAGTGCCTTGGATGAGAACTGGCATCATAATGAACTTCCGCTTCATGCACATCCAAGGAGGAAGGTTATACATACATAGAGTCACGGGCCAGGTGCTGTGATTGCTGCTCTGCTCCCCGAAAGGACTAATGCCATCCGCGCTTAAAGCAAACCATACGTTCCTTGGGTCACTTGCAAACTCATCCCAGTACTTTCTCTTAATTTTTCTCCACTTCGATCCGTCAGGAGGTGCTCTCAACTTTCCGTCTTTCTTATGGTCCTCATTGTGCAATCGCATCAATTTGGCATGCTCTCCGTTTCTGAACAGACGTTTCAACCGTGGTATTATAGGTGCATACCACATCACCTTCGCAGGAACCCTCTTCCTGGGGGCTCGCCGTCAACATCACCAGGGTCATCTCGTATGATCTTATACCGTAATGCACCGCATACCGGGCATGCGTTCAGATCCTTGTACGCACCGCGGTAGAGGATGCAGTCATTAGGGCATGCATGTATCTTCTGCACCTCCAATCCTAGAGGGCATACGACCTTCTTTGCTGCGTATGTACTGTCGGGCAATTCGTTATCCTTTGGAAGCTTCTTCTTCAATATTTTCAGTAGCTTCTCAAATCCTTTGTCAGGCACAACATTCTCTGCCTTCCACTACAGCAATTCCAGTATGGTACCGAGCTTTGTGTTGCCATCTTCGCAATTGGGGTACAACCCTTTTTTTGTGGTCCTCTAACATGCGGTCAAACTTCAGCTTCTTCTTTTGAATTTCGCATTGCGTCCTTGCATCGACAATGACCCGGCGGAGATCATCATCATCGGGCACATCGTCTGGTTCCTCTTGATCTTCAGCAGCTTCGCCCGTTGCAGCATCATCGTGCACATCGTCTGGTTCCTCTTGATCTTCAGTAGCATCACCATATTTAGGGGGCACATAATTGTCATCGTACTCTTCTTCTTCGCCGTCTTCCATCATAACCCCTATTTCTCCGTGCCTCGTCCAAACATTACAGTGTGGCATGAAACCCTTGTAAAGCAGGTGGGTGTGAAGCATTTTCTGGTCAGAGTAAGACTTCGTATTCCCACATATAGGGCATGGACAACACATAAAACCATTCTTCTTGTTTGCCTCAGCCACTTCGAGAAAATTATGCACGCCCTTAATGTACTCAGAGGTGTGTCTTGAACCGTACATCCATTGCCGGTTCATCTGCATGCATTATATATAATTAAGTGTGTCAAAAATCATTACAGAACATCATGAATAGATAATTAAGTGACCAAATTAATAGAAGTTCATCATCACATTAAAACCAAAGTACATACATAGTTCTCATCTAACAACATAAAGCTCTGCAGAACATCTAAATTAATTAAACCATACATTGAAACTATGTAAAACATTTCAATGCGAAAACAAATGCGATCATAATCGCAACCAATGTAACAACTGATCCAACGGCATAATGATACCAAGCCTCGGTATGAATGACATATTTTTTAATCTTTCTAATCTTCAAGCGCATTGCATCCATCTTGATCTTGTGATCATCGACGACATCCACAACATGCAACTCCAATATCATCTTCTCCTCCTCAATTTTTCTTATTTTTTCCTTCAACAAATTGTTTTCTTCTTCAAGTAAATTTAACCTCTCGACAATAGGGTCGGTTGGAATTTCCGGTTCCACAACCTCCTAGATAAATAAAATCTATGTCACGTTGGTCGGCATAATTGTCATAAACAATAAATAAACCAATAGTTATGAAAAGATAATATATACCACATCCGAATCATAGACAGGACGAGGACCGACGGGGGCGGATACCAAAACCATCACACTATATAAGATGCAATAATAAAAGTAAGAAAATTATACAAGTATCTATATAAACATACAAGTAAGATTTTTGTTCCTTTCAGAAAGAAGATAAGAACAAGAGGCTCACCACGGTGGTGCCGGCGACGAGATCGGTGCGGGCGATCGACGACGGTGAAGACGGGGACGGGACGTGACGGACCGCTAAACCTAGACAAGTATTAAGAAAAATAAAGCTTGGAGGTCGAGCTTGGAGAGGAGAAAGCTTAAGTAGTTTGGCTCGGGCATTCCATCGAACACCTCGTGTGCGTAGGAGGTGAGTTAGAGCACCACAAAGCTCTCTCCTCGCCAGCAGGAAAAACAGAGCAGTGGGAGTGCTCTGCTCGCGAGCGAGGGGTATATATAGGCAACTCATTGGTCCCGGTTCGTCCCAAGAACCGGGACTAAAGGCAGCCTTTGGTCCCGGTTCATGCCACCAACCGGGACCAATGGTGGTGGGCCAGGAGCGAGGCCCATTGGTCCCGGTTTGTCCCACCAACTGGGATCAAAAGGTCCAGACGAACCGGGACCAATGGCCCACGTGGCCCGGTCGACCCCCGGGGCTCACGAACCGGATCCAATGCCCCCATGGGTCCCGGTTCTGGATTGAACCGGGACTAATGGACTGACCTAGCCTGGACCATTGCCCCCTTTTCTACTAGTGCCGGCCGTGTCGTCGTCCGCAGCACCCCGGTGTCATCCCTCGCGCCATCTGACAACTCGCCCTCTGGTTGACGCTTTTCCATCACTGATCGCAGCAAAACACCGTCAGCGTCGAATCAGCCATTCAGCCATCGGCTGCCGTCACACGGTTCCAGCTTGCCGAGATGCCGGTTCCAGCTCGCCAACTTCGTAGCTCCCCTGTGCGGTGAACGATGCAGCAATCCAGGTCTCCCGTTCTAGCAAATTCGGGCGCCCATCCCAGCAAAATTGGACGCCCGTTCCAGCTCCATGCCCTGCTGATCCTAGCAGCCTGCGGCTCGTTGCAGCAAAGCAAGCTCCTTGTCGGTTCCAGCTCATCGCCATGCTCTGGTTCCGGCTTGCCGCGATCGTCGGTTGCACTGACGTGTCTAGCAAAAAGATCTGAAAGCAACAATCCTCCATTGGTCGGTCGAAGCAAAAAAAAAAAAAAACCAGATTTTAGCAAAACAAAACATCGGATGGAGCAAAAACAAGTAAACAGGGAGAAGTCTTTTTTTGAGGGAAAAACAGGGAGAAGTCGTGTGGTTGATTTGTAGCAAAAAAGGATGAGGGATAGCTACTTCTAGCAAAATCAAACACTGGTTCCCACAAAAAACTTAGCAAGGTGAACCTCCCAGTGATTTGATTGTAGCAAACAAATATGCTAGTTCCAACAAAGAAAAAGACTGGTTCCAGCAAAAAAGCGCCGCCGGCGAGTAGTCCTGGCCATGGGAAGCCCGGCCCGAAAAAGCCCGACCTGGCCCGGCCCGACGCTGCCCCCGGGCCGGGCTCGGGCCTAGTTTTTGAGCCCGAAGGCCGGGCCGGGCCGGGCCCGGGCCCGTCGTTTTTGCCATTTTCTGAAGGTCGGGCCGGGCCGGTCCGAAGCCCGACGGGCTTTTACGTGCTCAGGCCGGGCTCGGGCCCAGAAACACAGGCCCGATGGCCGGGCCGGGCCGGGCTCGGGCCTTAGTTTTTTGTGTAGGGCTTGGCTAGGCCCGGCCCGAAGCCCGGCCCGGCCAGAGGTTTGGCCAGGTATGCCGGCGAGTGTGCGTCTGGTTCCAGCATATCATGTGATTGATGGCAGCAATTATCGATGCTGGTTCCAGCAAAATGCCTCCGCATGTCGCGGCCCGACATCGCCCGCCTCCTCTCGCTCATCCACAGCAACTTCCACTGCAGATCCATCGTCTCCAAGGTGCAGTACTACATGCCCCTCTTCGGCTCCTTGGACAACCTCCTCCGCGGGGTCCGGCGCTCATCCTACCTTCTCTCGTCGGACCTGGACAAGGTGATCAGCCCCAATGTCGAGTTCCTGCGGGAGTGCGGGCTAGGTGACTGCGATATTGCCAAGCTATGTTACCGTGTGCCGAGGATCCTGACAACCAACCAAGAGCATGTCCGGGCGATGGCGGCGCGCGCCGAAAGATTAGGGGTTCCCAGGGGCTCCGGTATGTTCAGGGAAGCGCTGCACGCTGTCGCATTCCTCAGTGAGGAGAAGATTGCTGACAAAGTGGATTATCTGAAGAAGACGATCAAGTGGTCTGACACCGAGGTGGCCATCGCTGTGTCCAAGGCTCCAGTGTTGCTGAGGAAGTCTAAAGACCTGCTTAGTCTCAGGTCTGAGTTCTTGCTGTCTGAACTCGGGTTGGAACCGGCCTACATTGCTCATCGGCCGGTAATACTCTATTATAGCCTGGAGGGCCGGCTCAGGCCTCGACACTATGTTCTAAAGTTTCTCAAGGAAACTGGATTGGCCGATCGCGACTGGAGCTTCTATAATGTGGTCACGAGGATGGAGAAGGATTTCGTGGACAAGTACATATGCCCTCACAAGGAATCTGCGCCACACCTCGCTCAAGACTATGCAACCGCTTGCAAAGGGGAGGTGCCAACTAATTTCAAATTTTTACTTGAACCAAAAGTGGGCTGAGGAAATTGGTTACTATGTATTGCACAACAAATTTTTCACTATGCATGGTAAAGCTGGTAGTTCCTGTCTTGGGGTTCTTTGCCAAACTAGATGTTGATTGTTTTCTGTAGTATGCCTGTGACATGCCAGTTTGGTCATTGGTAAATGCTAACTCCTATGAAACTGTTAATTTTGTTCCTGACCCCTGATATGTTGATGTTGTCATTCCTTTGAGAAGATGTTTGTGCTTTCCTGATAATTTTATTCCTGAACCCTACAGTCTAATTATATATTTTCCTAAATCATGGTTGAGCGAAATATGTGTTGCCAGTTCCATTCTGTCATGTGTTCAGATTTTAAGAGTGATCTGGGAAGTGGAGTTTGCCGGCATTCCTCTTTTCAGATACTTGGACATGAGCCAACGCAGCCTGCCAAGATCAAACTCTGCTTAGACATAAGAGCATGTGGCATAAACTCTGCTTGCTCTTTTTTTTTGAGAATTACTCCTCAATTTATCTGCTAGATATTCTTTTGTTAGTAAGAAACTCATCTATTTTAATGCGATTTAGATATGCTTCTACTGGTCATTGGTTGATTTCGTTACTGAAATCTGTACATGCTTTCTTTGTATCAATGCTTCATGTCATTAGTTCAATTCACGCCTTACAGTTAGTTGTTCATAGCTGCGGAACTGTAGGGAGTTCCATCCAATGGTTTGTAAACTACTGGAACAGTATCATGTGAAAAAATTAGTTTCCTGGTTCTATTTTGCCTCTCCTTTATGTGGTTCTGTTTTTTTTTTGTTTACGGATTCTTTATTAGTGCTCCTTGAGGCAGGGCAAACATTCCATGCCGGCTGGTGTAGCTCCTCTCCACTCTGCGCAGCGAATTCCACGGTGAGCGTTCGTACCTTGGGCTCAGGTATGGTGTGACATCTTCATCAGATCGGAACTCAAAGTACTCCAAAACTGGGAACAGCCCTGTGTCGACCATCACTTTTTCTTGGGAGACATCCAACACGTGGATCCTGGCATCGACCATGAAGGGAAGCTCTCCAAGAAAACGAACCTCATCACTCGAAAGGTATAAGACACACAAATCGAGGACCCAGAGGCAACATAGATCACCAACCCATTTGGGAACTCTATCGAACTTCCATTTTTGCTAGATTGAGTACCTCGAGATGCGGCGGATGATCAGGCAATGACTCCGGCTGCCTAGCATTGCCATAACATTCACGATGGCAACTGAGGTAGAGGTGTTTGAGGTCTTTGAGCCTTACAATGGAGGAGACCAAAGCATCGACTTGTTCAACCGTCCAATGGTAGCCGTGACGCGTGTTAAACGTCACACCTTCAGGTTGGTCAACTCACTAAGGTCTTCGATGTCCCAACAATGCAGGCTGTGGAGTGATTTCATCTTCTGGATCCCTTTAGGTAGCGTTGTACCAATTGTAAGTTCTAGATGAAATAGGTTGACCAAGCGAGTTATATCTTAAGGAAAACTTTGTGCAGATCGACAAACCAGCTTCAGAGTTTCCAAATGAACAACCCCTTGGATTTCAGTAGGGAGCGCTACAGTGTTAATCTGGCTAAAACCTTCAAATATCTTAGAAGAAACACATGGCCAACTGCAGTGAGGTTAACCGTCGTATACCATTGATCGGGAAATTCAAACAAAAATCACTAGTAGGTACTTGAACTGTGAAAGATGAGGTATGTACATGGACTCCCCGAACCATGCACATGATCGAACTTGTGAAATGCTAGTAGCGGGTCTTTGATGTTGCACCGCCAACACTTAGTTGGAGGGATAATCGACGGACCTTGTACTCGCAATTGTGCAATCTTGCCATGTTTTCATCATTATATGCCACAATGATAAAATTATATTTAGTGCCCTTGCTTAGAATCAAATCAAACAACATATGATGCTACAAGAAAATACCTCCGTACCAAACGTTTTTTCTGGTTGAATCAGACTTCTATTGATAAGCTCATTGAAATAACTTCTTGCAACATCATCCAAATCTACTCCATGTAAACTGAAAATGAAGCCTTCACCCACCCATTGTCAAACCAGGTCATCCCTCTCAACCTCACGATCTTCTGGATATATGCCAAGGTACAAAAAACATGGCCGGAGATGAACAATAAGATGCATGTAGCTAAGGTTTAGTATAGCACTCACCTCCTCCAAGGCGGATATTGGGGCAGACTTGGCACCAATAGATTTTTCTATGATCTCCCATTCATTCAACGATCTTCCTTCTTGGCTAACTAACAGACTAGATATGGAGATAATTTCATGCGGCAATTCACCGCACTTCTTGAGAATTTTAGCTGAAACATCTTCAAATTGTGGTGGACAGTCATTTTCAAACCCAAATACTTTATTGGAAAACAATCTTCTTGAGTCTTGCTCTTCAAGGTGCTTCATTCTATACATGTATAGGCAGTGGGGGCGCCAAGAATACGGCAAGCCCCAGGCCGCCCCAGGCCACCTTCGTCTACTGTAGCTACACTGTTTCAAAATTTAGCAAAGGAATTGGTCTTCACGCCCCATGCAGCGGCCCAGGCTGCCTGGGGCCTGTCTCCGCCACTGTGTATAGGCACAATCACTTTGGCACGCCCGGACAGCTGCAGTATCCAAAAGTGTGGTTACCATTACTCTACTTCCACTATCATTTTGTTTAAAGGCACAACTAACAATATTCCATGTTAGATGATCCCATAAGTCATCAACTACAATAAAGTACTACAAATTTTGCACGGGTTAGTGGTACACTATATAAGTGGTTACAAGGTGCATAGAAAATCATCAAAAGTAAAATGAAGGTAACAAAGGCTAATAAAGGATGATGACACACGTCAATACTAGGAAAAAATAATACTCCGTACCTCTTATGTTTAAGGTCCCTAAGGTGGTCAATCAGTGGCAGAGCT